TTATTACATCTGACATTTGCCTTGTTTTCCCTTTTTTCCTATTTACCAGAAAGCAAGATCAGTAACAAACCTGGTGAGTCCATTTTTGTATTTCCTGACTGATGTTTGACACTATATCCAGTAGTTTCCCAGGACCACATATGATGTGAAGATATATGACACTAAATCCCTTAATCTATCCTCCTGCATTGCTCTCCAATTTTTATATCCAACATTTTCCCCAAGTGTGATGATATTGTTTTTCCTCCTTTAACCTAAACCACACTCCTAAAAAATCCTGACGTTTACATCACCATCTTCCAAATGTGTATGCACAGAAGATTCATCATTTTAGTATCTAACCCACACTGAATGTTTACTCTGTTTTACATGCTAAGAGGTGCATATGTATTTTTTCACTTAAACTTTATGACAGTAATATAAAGCAAATCCTACTATTATCTCCATTCTGCAGATGAAAAAGTGAGGCTTCTTTTGAGTAAATCAACTAACATCACAGGTAGTAAGGCAAAACTGGCCCTAAACTCAGACCTGTTTGCTTCTACATAATTTATCATTAACTAACATCCATAGTTATTCAAATTTCCTTATTTTTTGCCTAATGCCTTTTCTATTCCAGGATCCTAACCAGGATACAATGCTACATTTAATTATCATGTCTTCTTAGACTTCTCTTGGCTCTAACAGTTTCTCAGACCTGCCTTATTTTTTCTAAGCCATTAAAAAAAAAAAAATATATATATATATACACACACACACACACACACATATATATATAGCGACCTCATACTGTATAAGACCACAGCAATTACAATTTATTGCACATTATTAGGGTTTCCCTCATAGCTCAATTAGTAAAGAATCCAATGCGATGCAGGAGACCCTAGTTCAATTCCTGGGTTGGGAAGATCCCCTGGAGAAGGGATAGGCTCCCCACTCCAGTATTCCTGGGCTTCCCTGGTGGCTCAGCTGGTAAAGAATCCACCTGTAATGTGGAACACCTGGGTTCGATCCCTGGGTTGGGAAGATCACCTGGAGAAGGGAAAGGCTACCAACTCCAGTATTCTCGCCCGGAGAATTCCATGGACTGTAAGTGTCTCTATAAGTGTCTTCCAGTTGAGCTATTTCAAATCCTAAAAGATGCTGCTGTGAAAGTGCTGCACTCAATACGCCAGCAAATTTGGAAAACTCAGCAGTGGCCACAGGAATGGAAAAGATCAGTTTTCATTCCAATCCTAAAGAAAGGCAATGTCAAGGAATATTCAAACTACCACACAATTGCACTCACGCTCAAAATTCTCCAGTGCTCAATATTCTTCAAGCCAGGCTGCAACGGTACGTGAACCGTGAACTTCCAGATGTTCAAGCTGGATTTAGAAAAGGCAGAAGAACCAGAGATCAAATTGCCAACATTTGCTGGATCATCAAGAAAGCAAGAGAATTCCAGAAAAACATTTACTTATGCTTTGTTGACTACCCCAAAGTCTTTGACTGTGTGGATCACAACAAGCTGGAAAATTCTTAGATAGGAATACCAGACCACATTACCTGCCTCCTGAGAAATCTGTATGCAGCTCAAGAAGCAACAGTTAGAACTGGACATGGAACAACAGACTGGTTCCAAATTGGGAAAGAAGTATGTCAAGGCTGTATATTGTCAACCTATTTAACTTATATGCACAGTACATCATGTGAAATGCCAGGCTGGATGAAGCACAAGCTGGAATCAAGATTGCTGGGAGGGGTATCAATAACCTCAGATATGCAGATGGCATCACCCTTATGGCAGAAAGTGAAGTACTAAAGAACCTCTTGATAAAAGTGAAAGAGGGGAGTGAAAAAGTTGGCTTAAAATTAAAAAAAACTAAGATCATGGCATCTGGTCCCATCACATCATGGCAAATAGATGGGGAAACTATGGAAACAGTGAGAGACTTTATTTTGGGCTCTAAAGTCACTGCAGATGGTGACTACAGTCATGAAATTAAAAGATGCTTGCTCCTTGGAAGAAAAGCTATGACCAACCTAGGCAGCATATTAAAAAGCAGGGACATTACTTTGCTGGCAAAGGTCTGTCTAGTCAAAGCTGTTTTTTTCCAGTGGTCATGTATGGATGTGAGAGTTGGACTATGAGGAAAGCTGAGCACCAAAAAAATTGATGCTTTTGAACTGTAGTGCTAGAGAAGACTCTTGAGAGTCCCTTGGGCTGCAAGGAAATCCAACCAGTCAATCCTAAAGGAAATCAGTCCTGAATATTCATTGGAAGGACTGATGTTGAAGCTGAAACTCCAATACTTTGGCCACCTGTGCAAAGAGCTGACTCATTTGAAAAGATGATGCTGGGCGAGATTGAAGGCAGGAAGAGAAGGGGACGAAAGAGGATGAGATGGTTCGCTGGCATCACTGACTTGATGGCAGGCTCTGAGCAACCTCTGGGAGTTGGTGATGGACAGCGAAGCCTGATGTCCTGCAGTTCAAGGGGTCACAAAGAGTCGGACACTGTCGGGAGCCGCCAGGGTGCGCCCAGTCTGTGGCAAGGTCACGGGATGAGAGAGGAACCTGCAAGGCAGCTCCTCCTCACACAGGGCTGCCCCGGGGGCCCAATATGTCCCCTCGGGAGCCGCGGGGATGTGCCCAGACTGTGACAAGGTCACTGGACGAGAGAGGAGCCTGCAAGGCAGCTCTTCCCCTCAGGGTTGTCCTGGGGGCCCAGTCCCCTTCCTCTTTCTTACTGTTGTTGGGTTTTCTATTAATTCTTGGAAATGTAACATACAGTGATCAGACCTCGCTGGAAAAGTCCAAGCCTATTTAGAAATACTCATGATTGCTCCAGCCTAGGACACGACAATAAACATCAAGTCAAGAAGGAAAAGGCCACAGGCATAGTTGGGCTGCTTGCTTAGAAGATTATAATGTTTTAGATTAGAAAAGAGTAGAGACATTTAGATTCAGAAGTAGATGTACTATTTCAGTTTACTTGCTCCTTGGTTGAGAGGGTTTTCATTATTGCTATCTCTATGCTGCTATTTGTCCATTGTTTCCCTTCCTTAAACAACATGGAATATTACGGATATTTTTGTAGAATTAGAAAACATAGGATTTCAATAGAAGATTTATATTTACCAGCCTCATTGCCATTACCTCAATGTTAATAGAGGTTTTTTGCTGCTTCATAGTTAATTATTGTAGACTGAGGTTTTGTGGTTTCAGGTAAAGAAAAATATTAGGGTTTTCACATGGTACTATTCTCAGAAATGTCAAACGTGTTTTTGTAACCCTTCCCATGTATTGTTTTATTATCCAAAGAATTCATACTATATCTGGAATCTATGGAACATTGTTTTTGTCTGAGTGGAAATGTTAGGCCATTGAGGTGAGAAGACTAATGTACGGGACATTCAAGGAAAAAACCCTGTAATCGGGAATGTTCCAGATGAATATATAGGGGAAAAACATGGTGAGGAAAAATACTGACAGAAGCACGAAACCAATATTTGATGTAATATGAGGTGACTTAAGGGGGGAGGTAATGTTCATTCTATAAAAACTGAGCTGTCCTAAAAATAAAAAGCTTTTTCTTCCATGCAACCTTCTGTGTGTGTCCGTCTCCTTCCTCGCTGACGCCACTCGTCTCTTGGGTACTCTTGGACCCGCTGGGGCTGGACCCCGGCAGGACATGACTGGGCAGCTGAACAGACTGAACTGAGTGTCTGTGGTTCTCACAGAAACCTTCTGAAGCTATTAAATTCTCACTTTATAGATGAGAAAACTGATGCTTAGAAAGATGAAATCCTTTGGTGCAGGTCACAAAGCTAGTAAGAGCTGCAGCTGGAATCCTAACCTGGAACTGTCTGATCAGGAGTGTCATTTTTTTTTTTTAAATATACTAGTTTATGTGGCTTATGCACATGTGCTTTTAAAAAATAAATTTGAATGAATGTTAACATCAGAGTTAGAATGCCATAAAGATCTATATTTGGTCTAAGTTTATTACACAGGTTCATTCTAAAGATTTCTCAACAAAAAGTTCTAAGCATATGGCCCAAAGCCATCAGTGTCACTCAGCTTACTATTTCACAAAGCATCCAGTCAAGTTTTGAACAATTCTGTTAGAGCTCTGTGCTCCTTGAAATGGCTTTTGTCTTTGGTCTTAAGAGTTTGGCCCTGGGGTGCCAGACACAATCATCTAAACTTCTACCCCAGAACTCTGCAGTTGACCACCATGTCTCCCCCTAGAAAATCTTTTTCTGGAAGAGCATGGCATAGTAGGAACTTCACTCAACATCCTAATATCCTGATTTAGACCACAGTTCCTTGTAGAATCTTTATTTAGATCCAAGTCTTTATAGTGCATTTTATCTCTGCAATGTGCATGTCCTACACAATCTAAGCTCAGCAATTGCCTTTCGACGGTCTCCTTGCTTACTGGTAATCTATCACCACCACCACTATCACCCCTCTCTCCACCTCACCCCCACACTACAGTTCTAAATCAGGTCCAAACACCAGCTCTTCAAATGCGGGGCTCCCTCTAGAAAACCACTTGAGACACATGTTTAGAAGATAGTGAAACTTAAGGGGGATGCTTTCTCTGAGTGTGACACACAAGTTAAAGGGCAAAGACAGTGAACCACGGACACCCAGAAACAGCTTTCTCCCTGACTTCCCCATAGCACTAGGCAGACGAGGACTCCCGGGTGGATCTGCCCAGGACAGACAGCACGTGGGGCGGGGCCACGCACTAGGAACAGGGCGGGTTCCAAGCAGCTGGTTTCTCTGAGCGGTGTCCGCGGTGGGGGCTTGGGCACTGCACAGCGTCGCCAAGGCGCCAGCAGCCACCCTGCCAGCTACCCTCGTGCCCGCCCCCGAGACAGATGCTCAAAGCAAACCAGAGAGCAAAAGCAGTAAGCGAGGGTGTCAGACGATACAGTAAAGGAGGCTTGATCAAAGTTCCCCAGGGGTTCCTTTCCAGTCGGTGCCCGCGCTTCGTTGTCAGTACCATGGACAGCGCCCATGAGCCGACGCAGGGGCGCTTGGACGCCGCTGGCTTCTGGCAGGTCTGGCAGCGCTTTGACGTGGAGGGTGAGTAAAGCAAGCCAACTGTTCAGTCTTGGTGAAAGGACCTAGAGTTCCCCCTTCCCCGTACATCTTCCCTGCGGGAGAAGCTGTCTTCTAGCGCAGTTAATGCAATAAACCTCACGCTGAATACCTAACAGACGTTTTGGTAGACTGCAGTTGTACATCTAGATATCTTGTGAAAGTTCAGGGTGGGAGGAGAGACTTGAATCCCACCACTCTTTCCCAATCTGTGTGTGTGGTGATATAGAGATCACTATATATATTAGAGGCTTGGGGACTGACACCCGGGTATCTGAAGTCAGTTCTGACTTGTTTTTACTCCAATCTGCTCATTTTCACGCAGTGACTATCTGGGTAACCTCTTGTCTCTTAAAGAGAGGGTGAATTTTTAAAAAATCAAATTTCAAAAAGACACTACCCCCACTACACAAAAAATGTATTTGAAAAGTACTATTCAACATTTGCTTTTCCCGCATTAATAAAGAAACATGAAAATATCTAAAGCATGTGTTTTAACCTTGAAAACTAACATTCAATACTTGCATCTCTTAAACTTTTTGAAAACTGCAAAAACCTTGGGTTAGAGTTTATTCTAAAACTCATGTTTATTTGTGGATTAAAATTAATGAATAGCTCTTTCCCAAATATTTATATGAGACCCAGCACAGAGCATTTACTCTTGAATGTATTATTTGCTATTTAAACCCATGTCTTCTAGAATAGATGTTGCCACTTAAGAGTTGTAAAAAATAAGATCCATGGGGATTTTATAAATTTGAGATCGAAAACAAATTTAGATGTTAAATGTTAATTACTAAATGCCACATGTTGTTATATGCAAGTGACTATTATTTATGCACATCTTTTTCTATTTAGAAAAAGGTTACATAGACGAGAAGGAGCTTGATGCTTTCTTTTACCACATGTTGACAAAACTGGGTGTTGATGTAAGTATACTTGAGCCACTAAGAGTTAATTTGTTTCTCAGTGAGTTATAAAAAGCATCCAAGTCATATGTTGATTTGTACAATACCTATTAATCCCATCTGACCTCTTTTCTTCCTTGCATGTAATTTTTCTCCCTCTCCTAGCAACATGGAGGGATTTAGGTAGGTTTTATATGAGGTTCAACTGCAGCATTAGATGTGCTGGCCACTGACTTTTAGTGTGACATCTGTCATCCACTATTTCAACTGTAAATTAAAACAAGTCTGTTTTGAATGTCTCCTTGGTTATGTCACTGCTAATGGATTTAAATCTAGAGATAAGGTAGCTCACTTTGTTCAAAAAGGTGGAAAAGATGTTGAAAGTGTTAAGGTGCTGAGGGTTTAAGTGCATTGGATATTACTTGGGCAGCAAACCACAAATAAACTATTTAGAATAATTTTTTCCATTATTCATTGTTAGAAAAGGTTACAAACTTATGAAATGGCAAACCAGAAAATAATAAACATACTCAGAGCCCAAATATAAATGTGAACCAATCTATCTAGCATCTGTATCCTTCCCTGATGGTAAATCTGGCCTTGAGAGAGGCAGATTAACTTTTGATAAGCCCTCTACCAAAGCAGAGGAGAAACACACAAAGAGACGCACCAGCGTGGGGTTGGGAGAGCCTGGTAAAGACTCCATCAGGGGATGGGTGGTAAGGGAAGCAGCTCTGGAAACAGTAACATTTAAACTGAATTGTGGTGATAGCTTATCCTCAGATATAATCGCTTACATGAAAGAGTACTGGAGTGCATGACACTTTCATGTAGGAGCCCAGTGAGGGGAACAAGCAGCTTCGAGATGGTGTTTCTGAGTCGGAGGGAGGGCAGTCAGCTCAAGATAAACAAGGCTGCCATCTGCCTCCAACAGCCACACAGAGCTCTTGCTCTCTCTCATTTTCATCTCTTCATCTTGGTTTCTCTCATTTTTCTGTCCATTTCTATTTCTTATTCTGTGTTTCACAGCCATCATCTGCCATCATCTCTTGACTTGCTCTGTGATCTCTCTGTCTCTCATCTCTCTTACCTCTCTCTGGTCTTTATTTCTCATATGTCTCTCCATTGGTCTCTGTCTCTTTCTCTTTATTTATCCTTCTGGCTTCAGTCTGTTTCTCAAGCTCCCACAGTGCCTTTCTCTCCCTCTCTTTTGTCTTCTCTTTACTGTCATGTCTCTTCGTCCTTCAGTTCTTTTATCAAAATTTTCTCTCCTTTTCTCTTTCCTTCCCTTATTTCTCTGCCTCTCATTTCTGCTTTGCTCCCGCTTACTGCTGGCTCAGATGGTAAAGAATCTGCCTGCAAAGCAGGACACCCAGTCTCAATTCCTGGGTTGGGAAGATCCCCTGGAGAAGGAAATGGCAACCCACTCCAGCATTCTTGCCTGGAAAATCCCATGGACAGAGGAGCCTGGCAGGCTGCAGTCCATGGTCACAAGAGTTGGACACAACTGAGCGATTACACATACTACTATAAATGCAAAGGTTTGTGGCATTTCAGAACCTTTGATACCATTCTGATACCACTTCGTCAAACATGACAGGAGTATTAGAGGAAAACAAAACGATGAAGGCAAAACCATTCAAAGTCTCAGAATAAACTGGATGGTGAAAAAAAAAACAAAAAACCCAGAGACTTGGAGAAAACAAGTCACACCGTGTGTGTGTGTGTGTGTGTGTGTGTGTGTGTATAGCCGAGTTTTATCAAAGTAAAAAAAGGGACAGAGAAAGCTTCTGACACAGACATCAGAAGGGGGAATGCTCCCCCCACCAGCTAGTCATATCAAGGCCTTATATATCTTTTTTCAGACCCACTCCCACAACAAACACCTTAAATTAACAAGATTAGAACTAACAACAGAAAGATCTTACCAGACCCACTCCCATAATATACATTTTAACATGACAGGATTAGTCAAAAGGTTCTTGTTAAGGAGAAACATGTCCTTGAGCAAGATACACTGTTATATTGAACAAGACAAAGAAATGTAGAGAAGAACTTTTGTCCTTTCCTTCTCCTTGAGAATTCCAGATCCCTATCTCCACTTCAAGAGCCCCAGACCCCATTCTCCTTCTCGGGGACCCCAGACTGCTTATCAACCTGCCTAGGAATTGACTCTCTCATTCCCCCTGTTTCTTTTAGGAGAAATATGTTGCCACAGGAAAGGGGTGTCATTTTCATTCCATAACTTCTTCCTGCTGTTGAGGGGTGTGGTCCCTAAAATGTTGGGCAACATATTCTCCTAATCCTCATATTGAGGGTCTCTGATCCAGGGGCCCCAAGTAATAGTTGCAGGAGGTTGTGGCACTAGCAGGAGCTTGGACAAACATTTGTAACTTAAAAGCTTTCAGATGGTTAGAAACAAACCCAGTTTTATAGTTATAGATGTAAGGCAAAAAAGTCATTAAACCAAGTTAAAACCTAAACAAAATGAAAAGTCACATTATGTGCATAGTTAAGGTACAATATGTGATACCACTCCATCTTAGGATTGTGAGATGTCATCACAGAGTTGAAGAAAGTCCTTTCCTTAAAGCAGAGAAACCCACCATGGGAAGTCTTCAATTGATGAGAAGGGGAGTGCTCTGTAGACCCAGCAATTATGTTGATTGTGGAATGTTTCGTAGGAATGAGCCCAGGACAGGAAGGCGTTGTCTTGAGGGTCAAACGGCAGACTCAGGACTTCTGGAGTCAGCAGAAGCAAGCCCAAATAGACTCTCAGGCCCATCTCGGTTCCTTGCTCAAACAGTGGCTTGTTTGACTCAAAGGCTGGGTCAGACGTTAACCTCCCAATAATGTCTGTTTAAAAGCTAAAAGCTGAGTCACATAGTTAATTTTAAGGCTTCAGGATCATGACAATATCTGTGCACAAAAACAGTCTGTCATAGAGACGTCCCTCCTTCTTAGGGGCAGTTCAAGCCCTCATTAAAGCCATGGGTAAAACTTTAAGTCAACTGTCTTGTGTTTCCTGACTTAGCTTACACGGATGTCTTTTAATGTCATTAGCTTTTTCAACTTTTTCTGAAGATTGGGGTTTCCAGGAACAGTGTGATATTCTATTCCTAGAGCTTTTGACACCCCTTGAGTTACAGCAGCTTTATAGACTGAGACATTGTCACTCTTAACTTTAAAGTTTAAGATTTCATTTACATCATAAGAAGTCAGTACAGTAAGATTTTGCCCATTCATTAACCTTGGGCTTTAGTGAACACTGCCTTTGATGTGGGTCATTGAGCTTGATAATGACAGGAACAGCATTTTGTGCTCAATCCATAGTTTTTCCATCAGACCACAGTCTAGGATTTACATTTTATTCAATTAATGGGAGAGAAAGAGCAGGCTCCATATTCATGAAAACAGAGGCCTGGACCTTGCTCAGCATATCCCTCCCCAGAAGGGGTGAGGGAGACTCCAGTACGAACAGAAACCGGTGAGAGAACAGCACAGAGCCCCAGTTGTTGCTTAAGGGATGACTGACATAATAATGTTTGGCTCATCCAGACAGCCCCATTATGGTAGTGGATAAGGAGGAAAGCAGGCCAGGGGCTTCAGTGAGCACAGAAAAAGTTGCCCCCATGTCCGAAAGAAATAGACTGATAGGCCCTCCACAGTTATTAATACCTCGCGTTCCTCAGGTGTAATTAGGACAGGAGCTTGTGTGGGGACCTCCTGGGCACCTTCAATCCTGATTGTCTTAAGAGTCCGACCCCTGGGGCCTACGCCTTGGAGGGCAGTCTCTTCTCCAGTATGATCCTTTGCAGACCTGGAGCTGGGGGTGGATTAGATGCCTGAGGGCAATCCTGCTTGAGATGCCTCTCCTTTCCACAGTAATAACAAGTCCATCCCTTTTTACTTGGATTCCTCTGGGCATTTTTCCTCAGGCTATTTCAGAGCAGATCTAATAGCCACTGTTGGGGCTACAGTCTTTTGCCTGGTTCTTTTTTGCCTCTTATTTTCCTCCTCATATTCTCTACCATAATATGCCGTCTGGGCCAGCTGTAACAGCTTTTCTAAAGACTGATTTGGTCCAAAAGCCTGTTTTTGTAACTTACGGCAGATACCTGGAGCTGACTGAGTGGGAAATCTACCTTTTAAGATCATTCTTCCTTCTGTACTTGCAAGATCAACATCAGTAAACTTGTGGAGAACCTCCCAGATTCTATCTAGGAATTTACCAGGACTTTCCTTCTCTCCCTGTTCTATGTCAACCAACTTAACATAGTCTAAAGTCTTAGCGTGCGCTTGAGTCCTTCAAGAATACATCTGGCTCTGTTATTGGAACCACTTGGATCCCAGTAGGAAGGAGGGCTATTTTGTGTTCCCTCTTTCCCCTGTCTCATGTTCAAGCCATTTATCTCCAAAAGTAGTTCAGTTCAGTTGCTCAGTCGTGTACGACTCTTTGCGACCCCATGAATCGCAGCACGCCAGGCCTCCCTGTCCATCACCAACTCCTGGAGTTTACTCAAACTCCTGTCCATCTAGTCGGTGATGCCATCCAGCCATCTCATCCTCTGTCGTCTCCTTCTCCTCCTGCCCCCAATTCCTCCCAGCATCAGGGTCTTTTCCAATGAGTCAATGCTTCGCTTGAGGTAGCCAAAGTATTGGAGTTTCAGCTTCAGCTCAGTCCTTCCAGTGAACAGCCAGGACTGATCTCCTTTAGGATGGACTGGTTGGATCTCCTTGCAGTCCAAGGGACTCTCAAGAGTCTTCTCCAACACCACAGTTCAAAAGCATCAATTTTTCAGCACTCAGCTTTCTTCACAGTCCAACTCTCACATCCATACATGACCACTGGAAAAACCAGAGCCTTGACTAGATGGACCTTTGTTGGCAAAGTAATGTCTCTGCTTTTTAATATGCTATCCAGGTTGGTCATAACTTTCCTTCCAAGGAGTAAGCGTCTTTTAATTTCATGGCTGCAGTCACCATCTAGAGTGATTTTGGAGCCCCCAAAAATAAAGTCT